GAAGCACAAAGGTTGTATTGGCCTAATTAATTTTGTTATAATCACTCAAATAAAAAAGAAGGAAAAAACATTAAAAACAATAACAACAGAATTCTGGTTGTCTAATTTTCCAACTGAAGTCACAGGGTAAAACTTCTCAATTTAGAGCTCATGGCTCCTGGAGTGCATTTAGCTATGATTAATCATTGTGAAATTTATAAGCCAGGGTCCTGTCACAGCTAGTCAGACAAACTTTCCATCATACTTATTGAAAGGGAACACAGCTCCAGAGAGTGACCTCAAAGCCACCTTGAGTTGATGCAGGGATGATGTGGGGTCTGGATTGGACAAGGTGATCTGAAGCTTACAGCTACTCAGAATCTGATAGCAGCAGCTTCCTTCTCAAAAAAGCCTCCGTGTGGAAGAAAAGGGAAACCGAGCTTCATGTATCCACACAGTCCTGTCAACCAGCCTCCTGCTCTATGAGAGCCAATAGCCTCTAAGGAATAGGTGCATGCCCCACTATGGGAAGCCACATCTTATTGTGTGGAAACTGAACATAGCTATTGAGGAATTGTAGCTGAGCTGGAGACATCAAGAGGGTGTTCCTGATGAGTTGTATTTGTTACTTTTTTCACTGCTATGACAAAATACCTGACAAAAGCAACTTAATGAGAGAAGAGTTTATGGCTACAGTCCATCACAGAAGGGAAGGCATGGCGGCAGAGCAAGGTAGCTGGTCACGTGGCACCTGCAGTCAGGAAGCAGAGAGAGATGAATGCTGGTGTTCCCTTCACTTTCTCCTTTTCAGTAGGGACCCCAGTCCATGGGATGCTGCTGCCCATATTCAGGTGGGTCTTCCCTCCTCAGTTAAATCTTTCTGGAAAAATCCTCATAGATACACCTAGGGGTATGCTTCCATGGTGATTCTAAATCAGTCAAGTGGATGATGAAGATGACCATCATAGGTCCATAGGAACACGGTGACCCCTATGAAAAGCAGCATCTAAGAACTATTGCCAAGTAGAGTCAATCTGAGTAGCACAGTTGACTTCTTATTGACCAGCTGTTCTACCTGTAAGCCTCACAGAATGCCTTATCCACAGACAGTACACAGCACACATTCGAAGAGCCATAGTATTTTGGTGCTACAAAGGATTTCTGGTTCAGTTTTCTTTTTTCTTAATGAGGAAAGTGAGTTCCCCAAAGGGAGGAGATAATTGACCAAGGTTCATCAGCTAGAACAAAAACACAAGTTCTTGCCTCAACGGATCTAGTGTAAAGTTGTGCAGGTTGGGACTACACACAAGCATGTAGATAACAGGATGGGAAGGTCCAAATGCCAGCCCATTACTGGACTGGATCTCTTTCCTTTCACAAAGTGTCTATCTACTGGCCAAGTCCATATCTGCTCCAAGACATGTTTGCACTGGAATACACATAGAAGACTAATGTTACATGAACAGAGTTCAGGCTGCTGAGCATTTTATGAGATTCCTTCTGCTTTTTTTGTATTACATGGTTTTTGCTCTTCTGTGACTCATCATATTAGTTACTTTTACTGTTACTGTGACAAACTACCTGACGAAAGCAACATAAGGAAAGAAGGGGTTATTTTGGCTCACAGCTTGAGAGCACAGTCTATCATGGTGTAGAAGTCAAAGAGGCAGAAATGTGAGGCATCTGGTCACATTGCATCCATAGTCTAGAATCAGAGAGAGATGGATGCTGGTGTTCAGCCCACTTTCTTCTTTTGATTCAGTCTGGGATCCTAGCCCAAGGAATGGAGCTGCCCACAGTTAGGATGGCTCTTCCCACCTCAGTTAACCAAATCTAGAAACTCCCTCACAGCTGTGCCCATAGATTTTTTCTTAGGTGATTCCAGTTCTGATCAAGTTGCAAGTTGATACTCATACCATGGATGTGGGTAACAGGATGGGAAGGTCTGAATGCTAGCCCATAACTGGACTTGCATGTATGTATGTATGTATGTATGTATGTATAAGTGTTGGATAGCTTCAGTTGTCAACTTGACACACCTGGGAAGAGAAAACCTCAACTGAGGAATTTCCTCCATTGGACTGACCTATGGCCATGTCTGTGGGGGCATGTTCTTGATTATTGAGTGATGTAGAAGGGCTCAGCCCACTGTGGGCACTGCCAGCCCTGGGCAGGTGGGTCCTGGGTTGTACAAGAAAGCAAGCTTAGCCCAGGCCAGTGGAGCAAGCCAATAAGCAACATTCCTCCATGATCTGTGCTTCAGTTCCTGCCTCCAGGTTCCTGCCCTGAGTTCCTGACTTGGCTTATCTCAATGATAAGCTATAACCTGGGAGATGTAAGAGAAAATAAGCCCTGTCCTCTCCAGGTTAGTTTTGGTCAGTGTTTTTATTACAGCAGTAGAAAGTAACTAGCACAGGGGGCTGGAGAAATGGCTCAACAGTTAACAGTACTGGCTGCTTTTGCGGAGGATCCAGGTTTGAATCCCAGCACCACATGGTGGCTAACAACTGTCTATAACTCCAGTTCCAGGGGATCCAATGCCCTCTTCTGACCTCCATGGGCATTGCACGACAGAGGTGCACTTACATACATGCAGGAAATATACTCAACACATAAAAATAAATAAAAAGAAAGTAACTGGGAAATAGAAAAACAGAGATCTACATTGTACAGGAAGTATACATAGTAAGTATAAGAAAAACAAAATTTAATGAAATATCTATCTATCATCTATCATCTGTCTATCATCTATCTATCTATCTATCATCTATCTATCATCTTCTATCTATCTATCTATCATCATCAATCATCTATCTCTCATCTATCTATCTATCTATTAATCATCTATGTCTTTATATGGATCTTTATAATCTGTCTACCTGCCTACTTATTTGCCTTTCATAACCCATACTGATCAGGATATTGCTGCTAATCAATAAGAAGACTAGTCCAGGGAATGGAGAAGTCACCTAAGGAGTATTCTGTACATACTTATTTAACAGGCCAGACTATAATTGCATGTCCATCTGTTTCTCACAGCTCCTAAGGGTGTTCTGTCCACAGGTCACCACGGGTAGAGCCTTGTATTAAGTATTCAGAGTACAGCCATAGGACCCAGAGGCAGGAGGAAGTATTTCTTGGGTCATATGGAAGTCATGGCATATTAGAAGAGGAGAAAGTGACCCAAAGCTGCACAAATATATGCAGACTTGAGGGAAGGGCCTTCAGGAGACACACAAAGAAAAATACAAAGAAAGGCTCTTAATATAGTATAAATCTGTTGACAAAAAACGACAAACCAGGCTTTGCAAGCTGATCATTAGGCAGGTAGGACAGGTGTATGCTTGCTGTTTCTTTTTCATAATGACAAATAAATTGGGCAGTATACAAGCCAAAGTGTTTCCCAAAGCCCTGGACTTTGTCCCCTTGAGAATTCTCAGGGTGTTCCATGGGTCCTGTTCTTAGCTGAGTTCTTTCCACAGGGTCTCAGGGCCCTAGAGAACCACAGATTTAACACCTACCTCTTCCACTGTCTCCACACTATCTGGGAAGACAGGCCTTACTTTGCCTGTTTGTACTTCTTAACTATGGGAATTATGAATGATGACCAAGGCAGGGCACAACATCATGGGCCTCCCATGAGGGTGATGAGGGCGGACAAATGTGACTAGTGTCTGCCACCTAATAGAGTCTGATTAAGCCTCAGTTACCAGGAGGTGGAGAGGAAACCACCATCCTAAGTTGCTGACAAACACCATCAGTTGCAAAGACACTAAACAGAGCCCTCCCTGGGCCTGTATGTCACTCGCCCTAGGAGGATCTTCTAGGCTGAATGAATTGACATGAAACTCAGATTCAAGGTAGATGTAGTTCGTTTGGTTTGAAACTCTGAAGTCCAGGCTACTGTGCAATTTTCCTAGCGAAGCTCAGGCATTTTGGGATAACACAGAAAGAGGGTTACAGACCATGAACATGTACAGCCTTACAGCAGAAATGTTCGGAAGAGACCAGGCAACCAACACAACACCCTGCCAGTGTTACCTCAGAATGTAAGATTACTTTTACTTTTATCTTAGCTGCAATGAACACAAAAAGAGACTCCAAAATTATGTGTATATCTGTATCCATTGATCTAAAAACCCAAATGAAGTTTCTCCTGCTGCGGTGGGATCAACGGTGCTAGCAGTGACTCATGAGTGTAGGTCACTTAGCACAGGGACTTTGTCCTCATCCTGTCTCCAACCATCATCAACACAAGGACTACATCAGCTATGTCTTCTTCTCTTACGCTCAGCTAGGCCTGGCACTTTCCAGACTTTATTTCATGGACTTGCTACAACCTTCCTCCACAGAGATCTCACGTTCCCTGGTATCCTTTGGGGGAATTGGATGAGGATATTATGGCCAAACGATGTGTGTAAAGTCAGACAGCTAATTAGAAGACCCAGTACTTAACCCTGGGTTTCTCTGTCTGCAGAGCCCATGATCTTGTCAAAACACCAGTTTGCTTACTTTATAGACACTAGCAGGGCACCCACTGGCTGCAGGGCCTCGAGTTACACTGATGCAGGAACAATATGTGAAGCTTCCTTTGCTCAATTTGGGTTTAAATTATCATGGTAACTTCATGTGGGGCGGGGACCACAGTATGAGTGTTACAGTCCTGTTCTATCAAAACCAGGTTCTGTTTCTACCACTAATTCACCTCAAGATCTCAGTTTCTTTAGCTGTAAAAGATTACAGTAATATGCAGACAGTAAGGCAGATTACATGATGTAGTGCATGCTGGGGGCTTAGCACAGAGTCAGGTGCATAGTAACTGCTCAGTATCTTCAGTCAGGGGGAGGCATGCAAGTAGCTTTCAATGATCTCAGCATTTTCAATGACTAAGTAAATTAGTTTGGTGAAGGATGAAGAAGAATGCATCAGGACAGGTTTAGCACCTCCCCAGGCCTGAAGTTAGGGGCTCATGGTTCCCAGTGGGTCCCTGCATAGCATGGCCTTGGGTTCTTATTTTCTAGTCATCACCATATTTAAAGGTAAAGTGGAGGAGGTGGAGCTGCCCGTGGAGAAAGTGGACATCATCATCAGCGAATGGATGGGCTACTGTCTGTTCTATGAGTCGATGCTCAACACTGTGATCTTTGCCAGGGACAAGTGGTTGGTAAGTAGCCCACGATCTGTCCCAATGTTGGTCTGGGATGTTGTCTGGCTATGCTCCCCATGGCCTCCAGTCATGGGAAGAGTACGAGAACTTCAGAGAGGACTGTTCTAGGAGGTCACTTCTCTCATGGCCTTCTCTTCAAAGCACAGCTGCTTGAGGGGACCAGGTGATCATCCCTGGTCCAACATGTCAGAAAGTTCACTTTCCCGAGTAGGTCTAACCTTGGCCTCTGTGGCTATGGCAGAAACCCATTCTGTCTTATTAAGGCTGCCAGAGAGGGAGGGGAACTGCTTGCTGTGGCGTCTCCAAGCCACAAGGCCATCACTTGGGTCTCTGTTCCTCCTTGGATTTGCCTTACCTTGTGTCACTTGTCCCATTAGACTGCACCCGGGTCCCTCAGTTCTCCCTGCTCCAAATGAACATAGACTGTTACTCACCATGCCTAGCCAAGGTGATGGTCCACTGAGTGAGAAATGCTGGCAAGGGGGTGCTTGTCTGGTGACTCTATGTGCAGTTCAAAATGTGATGTCTTTGTCAGGTGAATAGATTACGAGACCCATTTCCCCACAATTCATCAACAGAAACCTGGAGGGCTTATGTTTCCAGACCGGGCGGCTTTGTACGTGGTAGCAATTGAAGACCGACAATATAAGGACTTCAAAATCCACTGTAAGTCACCTTGATGGTGTTTGTTGAACTTCCATTGCATACTTGGGGTGAGATACACTTCAGAATGGGCAGTCGGTGTCCTGAGAGAATTCATCTGTGACACTTTCTGAATTCTTCTCTTGAGTCTTTCTCTCTAATCCCAAGAGGGATGTCTACAGATGAAAAGGAAACAATGTAACTGGTAAAAGGTAACACCTTGGGGTTAAGAAGAGAAGGAGGCAGTGAGAGCTGAGTTTGTGCAGAGAACAAGTAGCAGGTGGCTGGGAGCCTCTAGGTCAGACGTGGCAAATCTCCCATTGTCACTCATTGTGAATTCTGCCTCCATGCAGTTCATATTGGTCAAAATAACCTTGATTCTTCATCACATTAAATAAAATATGGATTTTCTATGAGGTTTCTTTAGAGAACACATGGAGTCGGTAGTAGAGAGGGGCAGAGACTTTGAACCAATCAGATGCTGTGTTTGTGTATGTGTGTGTGCATCTGTGTATGTGTAAGGGCTCATATATAATATAAATATGTATCCTTATACCTTACCAGTTAGAGCAGTGTGGTTGGTTCTCTTATGTAAAGCAGTCAGGTGTGGTGGTACATGCCTACAACCCCAGCATTCAGGAAGCTGAGGCTGGAGGATCATAAATTTGAAGCTAGCTTGGGCTACATAGTAAGACCCCCCGCAAAAGAAAAGAAAAGAAAAAAGGGAAAGATGTGGTGGCTTACAACAGTATTTGGGAAGCTGAGGTAGGAGGATAGCCTTAAGTGCAAGGCCAGCCTGGGCTACAAAGTAAGGTCCAGTCTCAAAACAAAACAAAACAAAAATTAAAAACCCCTCATCTTGTCAACATTTTATCTGGTTTCAAAAGGACTGTTCCATTCTATTCTATTTAAGTTACATTTCTGTGTTTGGTGGGATGGTACCTAGGGTTCACAGACTGAATAGCTATGACCCTCTCCTGCCTCCAGGGGTGAAGAGCGTAGTTCGCTAGACTGCGGCCCCACTGATTCCAACTGTGGCTCTCTAATCATTCTTCAACTGCTCTGCTGAGGCCTCCTAGAACTGTAGGGAAAGTACATGCCTGCCCATCCCCACACCCTTCTGGAAACTAAAGGTCCAAGTGGGAATTTCAAAGTCAAGGTTCAGAAGGTGGAAATAGAGAAGTCATTTGAGGGCTCCCTTTGAGGTCCTGAAACCCCCCTGTATCACTGTATCATTTCTAATACTTGACCTCAAGAGGGAAGAACAAAAGCCTTCAAATGAAAGTCAAGAGAGACAGGGTAACTGAGGGTGAATGTTTTGAGATCTGCAAGCCTGGATTTTAAATCTAGGCACTGCCATTTGCTGACTGGGTAACACTGCGTGAGTTCCCTAACACCTCTGAGCCCCAGTGAGAGGCAATGCCATCAATTCCAGTGACATGTCACGAGGACCAAGTCAGATGCCATACACTGTAAAAGATATGACAGTTTATAGTGCAGGTGGGACAAGGCCAGGTCCAGACTCTGAAGGAGCAACCAGTAGCTTATTCAGCTCCAGGCTCTGCCAAGCCTGCTGGCCTCTGTTGGCTTGGAATCTGGGACAGGCATCTTCCCACAGAACACTGCAGAAGCCACTGAGTGGTAAACATAGGTCAAATGTGTGTGTAAATAGGACATGGATCGCCCTCGAGCTGTGTTTTGGGGCTCACAAGGTGTACTTGTACCGAACAGCATTTGGAGGAGCATGTTTAGGAACATTCTTCACTTTACATCCTCTTAAATATTTATTGAGCTTTTAGGACAGCTCTTTAAGAAACTTCCAGTTTCCAGAACAAACATACCTTTCTCCCCACTTGCCTTCCCAGCAACATGTTGCAAGTTCTTGGGGGCAGGCACAATACCATGAGCCAGCCTGGGGCCCCCAGAGAAGAGGGCAGTGGTGACTACTAGGTGGTGCAGTCCAGAACTGGAGAGCTTGTAATATATTCCTGTAGTTCTTGCTATGGTTGAAGCTTCTAGAAAGGAGAAAAACAAATAAAAATAACAGCCAAACAATAAAAAACCAACAACAAACAGACAAAACTAAAATCCAGCCCTCAATTTTTTTCCTTTTGAAGTGTTTGCTTTTGAGTGTCTAAAAAAAGGAAAAGAAAAGAGAAAAAGGCTTATGCTACAGCTCCGTGGTAGAGCGATTCCCTAGTGTGAAAAGCCCTAGGTTCAATTCCCAGCACCACAAGAAAAACAAAACAACAACATAACTTACAAGCCCCAAAAGGACAAGAATAAACATTTAAATTTTATTTAGAATGTGGTTTCCTATTTAAATGTTTTTCTTTTTAAGATACATTTTTACGTGAAGGAAACAAACCCATTTTGAAAGTGTTTTAAACAAAAGTAAAGCATAAAGGTTGCTAGTTGCCAAGGAAACAGTTACAAGCAAATTTCAGTTGGCTTAAGAACCAGCTAAGGGAGAACAATGTTGAGTAATGGGGGGTGGGGGGGCAGGAGCATGAGGCTTGTCCAGCTCCCACAGACAGTAAATGGTTAAGACAGGACTTTGCTCCCCTGTCTTCTCTCCTTTTTCTTCCTTTCCCCATTTCCCCTTCCTCCCCTCCTTCCCTTCCCCAACCACATGCAACCTGCTGAAACAAGACTGAACAACATTCAGGACCTATCCTCACTCTGTTCACCAGCTAAGAGACAGAAAGAACCAGGTGTCTGGCCTGCCCGCGGCTCACAGTACTTGCATTGTGAATGAAGGAATGAATAGCCCAGCAGAGGAATGGGTTAGGTGTGGAGTGTTAACCCTGAAAGAGGAATGAGCTGTAAAAACGATTCCCCACTGCAGAGGAGATTTATGGAGTCTCAAACTTGGATAATCTATTCCATTTTGTACCCACCACATGAATCACCCAACTAGAATCCCCAGCCTGTAGCAGGTCAGGGGGTTGAGTGCCAGCTTCCTGGAGGATGGGCAGCCAGGAGGAAGACCTAGAGTAGCTGTGCTGTGGCTGGAGAGCAGCAGGGTGGATCCTCTTGGAGGGCTGGGTGCTGTCTTTGGATTGTTCCTGTGTCCACCCCAGCATCCGGAGCTCCACATGCCCAGCATCCCAAACTCCTTTTTATCCAAGGGCTTTGCTTCTCTGTTCACTTTGTTCCTAATTGTTTAAAATGCCAGTGAACACCTTCCCTTCTGCACAGAGGTGAGGCTGTGAGTGGAGCTCCGTGGGCTTCTATTCCTTCCAGAGGCCTTCTGACCAGCAGCCTGCCCTGGAACTCACAGTGAAACTCAGATCTCTTGGGTGGGAGGAGGGATGGTAACTACAGTTCTTTCCAAAGTGTATTCCATTGGTTCTCTGGGTCTTTGTATTTCTATTTCTTTGGCTGTTTCAGTGACAGTTTCTCTCTCTCTCTCTCTCTCTCTCTCTCTCTCTCTCTCTCCCCTTTTTTTTTTCTCTCTCTCTCTCTTTTATTTTAATATATTTGGATGTATTTTCTTTGTATGTATCCCAATTGGGATTATATACAATGGTTGGATCTGTGGGTTGAGAATTTCATCAATTTTGAAAAGACTTAACCATTGTCCTTGCAAATGTGTATTTCTGTTCCTGTCTGAGCACCTTCTCTTTTTTAGGAAGTCTCACTACAAGTGTGTTTGATATTGTGCTGCGGTTCTTGAATTTTTTCCTGTTTTTTCAATTTTTGTTCTCACTGTGTTTAAGTTGGAGTCATTTCTTAATTGACCCAATTTCAGGTTTATTGATTATTTCCTCCATGTATCTATTTGGCTAATGAGCTCATTACAAGAGTTCTTCCTCTCTTATGGTGTGATTCTGACTTAAAGCACTTCCATTGACCTCTAAAGACATCACTGTCCTTTCACGGTGTCGTCATCTGTTCCTCTGCTGTGTGTCCTTCGCCTTTCCCGCTGGATTCTTGAGCATGCTTGTTATAGTGACTTTAAAGTCCCTGTTAGGTAATTCCAACATGTAAGCTGTATCTTGAATCTCATCGACTTTTTTTCCCTCTTTGGATCATGTTTTTCCCCTTTTCGGTGTCTTGTAATTTTTCCTTGATGTTGGGAATTGTGTGTTAAACGATAGCACAGACAGATGAATTATATTTATGCCCAGAAAAAGAGGCTTTTCCTCTGACAGGCTTTTAGAGTACGGGCTTCAGTCAGTATGGACTGCAGTTCTGGGCTTTGATGTCGCTTTAGTAACATTCATTGTGACACAGCACAGTCCATTTCAGAATTAATATTAATCCATCAGCAAAAGATTCACAGGCCCCTCTGATATTGCTTTTAAATCCCTAGATAAATAATAACAATGTTTCTTAATGGCCATTAGCCTTTGCCTGACACTCACACAATGGACAATACATATTTGCAACAGAAAATTAATGTACTTGACTCTCATCCTCCTGTCTCTGTTCCACTTCTGCTAAGAGGGGTTAGTAGGAAGTGAGTGGTCAGCAGCCCAAGAAAATGCATCTCTGAAGGCCCTGGATGCTCTGCCCCTGAATAGCTGAAGTGGGAGGGTCTGGGTGGGGATATAAGACATTAATTAGCCCCAGTAAAAGTGATTAAATCAGCAGGCTCTTGCAAAACAGTGCAGCATTCAACGTGTGACTGCTTTTATCTCAAAAGCTTTACCTGTGCTGTGTCAAATGTTCAGGCGCCTCAGACACAGCAGGACGGTCCCATGATCAGCAATAGTTAGAGGAAGTTTTGAAAAGGTAATGAGACTTTTAAGCTCACTGCTCAAGATTTTAAAAGACCTTAAAGGTCAAACTCTGGTTGAAACTGCCATTTGTATAAAAGTTGTCTTTCTGAGTCCCTAATATGGAGAAAGTGGTTCAGTAGGTATGGTGGGAGACCAAGCATCCACATTTTTGAAAGTATTCCAGGTCTGGAGAGGTGGTTAAGAGCATTGGCTGCTCTTGTAGAGGACCAGAGTTCAGATCCTAGTACCCACATGGCAACTAATAACTATCTGTAACTCCAGTTCCAAGGGGTTTGACGCCCTCTTCTGACCTCCACGGGCATTACATGACATGGGTGCACTTACGTGAAGGAAAAACACTCAAAACCACATACAATAAGAAAATAAAAATAAAAAGTATTCCAGATGATTCTAGAACACACACTGAATCAAACTCCTTCTTTTACAGATAACTGACCTCTTATAGATAACTCCTTCTTTTAATGGGAACTTATCTGTGCAGGGTCACACAACTTGAATGGCAGCAAAGCCAGAGCTCAAACCACATAACTACGACTGCTGTATCAAATTCTTTCTGTGTACCTGGCAGTATCCCAAGCACTTTGCATACAGTATCACATCAATGCACCTAACTGCCCTGTGGGGTAGCCACCATTAGTGCCATCATACACATTTTAAAGAGGAAAAGAAATCAAGTTATAGAGAAGCTTCTTGCTTGCTTAAGGTTACACAGCAAATACATGGAAGGGCTCAGATTTGAATTCCAAAAGCCCAGGTCTTCAACCATTATACATGTCATCTCTTGGGTTTTTATTGAAGACTTGCATAGAACTTTGCCTGAAGGGTGGAGTCCAGGGTCTGAAAGAACAGGTACATGGCAGGTTTCTTCATGGAAGGGTTTAAACCCAAGGGAATGTACTTAGTACATATGTTTCATTTGGGGACAGAATGGTTAGGTATCTCTAGATTCCACTAGGGCTCTTCTCTGAGGCCTATCCTGTTGTCCATGGAATGGTTCTTTCCTACAGTGTAGATTTCATTTTTTTTCTTTTGAGACAGGGTCGCCTGTAGTCTAAGCTGACCTCTAAATCACGATATAGCCAAGTCTGACCCTGAACTTCTGATCCTTCTGCCTTTACCTCCCCAGTACTAGGATTAGATGTATGCACGATCACACTCATTTTTTAAAAATATTTTATTTATTATTTTTATTTTATGTGGTTGGGTGTATTGTCTGTATGTATGTGAGTGCACCCGTGTTGTGCAATGCAGCAGAGGTCAGAAGAGGGCTTCGGATTCCCCTGGAACTGGAGTTAAGGACGGTTTGTAGCCACCATGTGGGTGCTGGGAATCGAACCCAGGTCCTCTGCAAGAGCAGTCAGTGTTCTTAACCACTGAGCCATCTCACACTCATTTTTATGCAGTACTGGAGATGGAACCCAGGGCTTGATGCATGCCAAACATCCTACCAACTGGGCTACTTCCCCAGCCTCTACAATGTGTGTTTCCATTGGGAGTTTGGCACCAGTCTCCTGACTGAATGGAATCTGACTGGCATCTTCCCCGCAAGCCGGAATCTGACCATTACTCACCCTCTGGGAAATGATTACTCCTCCTTCCCTGCCTCCCCCTACCCCTGAGGCCTTTGTGTATCTTAGAAAAGAACAGTAATTCTTTCACTGGTCATTTACACCTCCCTCCTCCACACCCACTCTCCTCAACACACACAGGGATGTGAGTCTCCCAAGGCACTATTTGTCTGATGAACACTAAAAGAAAATTTACATTTAATAAGATTTTAGACAAAAGCATCTTTTCTTTGAGACATTTCTAAACCCCTCAGAATAAACAGACAAATGAGATCCAGCTGCCCAGTGTCCAGAGCCCCTGCTCAGGTCCTCCTCTGGGAAGGGAGAACATTGCATGTGTGATTTTTATTAAAGCCTGTTGCATGCAACTGGAGGGCTGGAGAGTCAGCATCGCTCCACCCCTTAGGTCCACAGTGCCCCTGATGTGTGACATGGGGTCAGGATTTGAGTGTGAGCCAGATGCTAACTTCTCATGGCCAGTTTTCTCATCTATAGCAGAAAGGCATCTTTAAGGTTAAATGAAGGTAACCTAGCAACCATAGCAATTAGTACCATCACTGAAGGAAGGGTGGCCACCAGACTTGAATTCACTCACCAGGTCATGCACCCTAACTCTCCTTCCCAGAGCATCTCACAAGGAGCCCAGAGCCCCGGCACCCACACAAGGCTATTTCTTAGGGGATGGACCCTCAGTGAGTGCCTCTCAGCATGATGGCATATGAGGAATCTCAGTGCTTTCCTGGATGCCTACAGCTCCAAGTGATTGAGGTCTGGGCAGTAAGCCATGACACTGGGACTCAAACTCCAGTCCATTTTCCTTTAAAAAGCCCATGTTTCTCTCTGCTGTGTTAAAGGTTAGGAGGGTGGGGTTGGCAGAAGAGAAAGAGATAGGCTTTTGTGGGGAGACAGGAATCTTTAGTAAAGGCCCTGAAACAGGAAAGTAAATAGCAAGCACATGTCAGAAAAGATTGTACTATGGAGTCCTGACCTGATCCCTGCTACATTCTAATTATGTGAACTTGGAGAAGTTTTTTGGCCTCTCGAACTTTGGTTGACATAACCATAGAGTGAACGATCCTTTTATAGAGGAACGAATAACAGTGTGAATGAGCAGTTGGTACACCATACACTACAAGGCTCCCCCTTGTGGTTAAGTGATGCTCAATGTATTTTGATGTAGGGGAGCAGAGGCTGTCCTTCCACCCCTTGTCTCTGGCAGGTTGTACTGTAGCACCCAGGAGTCTGGGTGAGTTTTTTTTGGGGGGGGGCTCCCATTACTTGCCTTCATGTCTCACTCTGTTCCCTTAGGGTGGGAGAACGTCTACGGCTTTGACATGACCTGTATCCGGGATGTTGCTATGAAAGAGCCTCTGGTGGATATCGTGGACCCAAAGCAAGTGGTGACCAATGCCTGTTTAATAAAGGTCTGGAGACTCATCCTGGTTGGGCCTGGGTGTACTGAGGACCCAGCTGTGCCACTCTGGAATGTCAGGCAGGGGTGTGCCTGGAATGCAGGCAATACTCGCCTAGGGAGGCAAGAACACTTTGGCCAGAGCCTGGTGTCAGGTCAAAAACTCTCACTGAGCAGAGCTGCTCAGAGAACTCCAGGGTGGCATAGTTGGGGTGGGGTCCCAAGCAGGGTCCCAGGTGTCCTAGTGGGGTTGAGGGGAGGGATATCAGAGGACCAGACACCTGGGAGGCAAGGGGAATGTGGAGACTTGGGGACAATTCAGGGCCAAGTGTCTGTCTATGCTGGGAAAGACCTCCTACACCTCGGGATGTTCCCTTTCCACACACACTCGTCAGAATTGCACAGACAGAGAGGCTCTAACCCCGTTCTGGAGCCTCCTCCTTTGTTTGTGCTCTGAGCATCTTTTCTTGCAAGGCTTTCTTCAGTGCAGATGACCAGTTGGTCAGCATCCTCACCACGCCAATCCTTAATGCATTCTTACCACTCAGTATCTAATCATGCCAGACTAGAAAGCACGGCGATAAATGCTGCCCTTCCCCCTCTCTTCTCACCCCAGCTCCTTCTAGGCCAGACACATCTTTTCTATCCCTTTTCTATGTATCAGCACTCATATGTGCTAACATATTATATTGAACCAGATACATTGACATGTGACTTTTTTTTTTACATTAAAGACATTCATTTCATATGGCACAAGTTAATTTTTTAGCGTAAGCATATGGGCTCCTTATATAAGTCCTCATCAGCCCACCTGACTCTCTCATCCTACTGAAGCATCCCTGTCTGCTCTAGGCCTGTATGTCTCACTTGTTTTCTTTAAGTCTTGGAGATTGGTGCAGGAGCATGCGGAGGGAGAATCCATAGCCACTAAAGTTGAGGGTGGTGGTAGTCTGAAAGACTCCTGTTTTCTTCACATGAGAAGTATCCCTTTCTTTTTGGACACAGGACCCACTGTAGCTCTTGGTCCTGCCCATCCCTGTGGCATTGGGAAGGGCTCGCCTCCAAGAGGTGTGGCTTCTTGCCTGAGCCTTAGCTTCTCATCCCCAGGGTTCAAAGTACTCCTCTGCCTCAGGCCCTCTTTAGTGCCAGAAGGATTAATTGTGAGGAGATGTGCCCTTCCATCTTTCCCTACCAACCCTGTGTCCCTGAGGCCTCACCTTTTTAGAACCCCAATTAGAAGGAAAATAAGGGGAACTTATCCACAGGGCAAGACATACACGAGCCATGTCCCTCAGTAGTACAGAAGAGGTGCTGAGTCTGGTTGCTTAGGCTTTAATCCTCTGTATTTCAGCAGGCTGAGGCAGGAGGGTAGAGAGAGTTCAAGACCTGATTGGGCCATTTAGTTAGACACTGTCTCAGAAAAAAGTGTGTGTATGTGATGTGTGTGTGCCTGTGTGTGTGTGTGTGTGTGTGTGTGTGTGTGTAAGGGTGTGTGTGAAGTAGATCAGTGATAGAGCATTTGCCTGGCATGTGCCAGGCCCAAGGTTCAATCCACAGCACCATTATTTAATTTGTTAATTAATTAAATTAAAAAATTGCCAAACTGGTAGAAATCAACTGGTGCTACTGAATTTTCCAAACCACATGGCAGTTGCAACTGCCATCAGGCACCTGTGTGAAGTAGTACGAGCTTAGGGATAAAATTTGTCACTGTTCTGGGGCCCCTGGGTGACTTTTTGCACTTGACAAAGCCCTATTGCAATGTGGCCAATGTGCTTCTAGGTGTTTCTTGCTGCTGGCTTCTCAGACTGGCTTGGTTCTCCCCTGAACCCAGACCACAGGGGTCTCCTTCTCCCTTTCTCTTTCTCTCTCCTTCCAGATGAGTATCAGCAGTAAGTAGCCTTGCCCAAGGCTGATCCTGAGGGTGTCCAGGGTTTGAGCAGCCAGACTGAACTTGGAAGGAGGCAGTCTGTGTTTGCCTCTATAGTTCTCTTTCTCTCTCTCTCTTTCTCTTTCTCTGCCCCCCCACCCCCTAGCGGAGTCTCACTGAGCCTTCAGGGAAAACACTTGCCCTTCTTCACACACTTAATTGCTGTTTTCATCACTATTAACATTGCCAAATGTGATACTTTATTATAATTAAGACTCTGTTTTGACCAGACTTCTGCCTGGAGACATCTATTTGTGACATTATTTAGAGGTGGGGTAGCAGAGGCCAGGGGACTTCTGACAGTTTATTCCAGTGGAGGCTTCTGCTATCTGGGGTCACCTGAGAACAAGGCAGTAAGGCTCTGTGAAGTCTCAAAGGTGCAGATGTGAGAGAAAGATTCCTTCCAGCCAAAGAGCTTGGGCCCCGGGGCATGGGGTAACTGAAGCTGTGCTACAAACTGGAGTATGCACCTGAGTCCTGGGGCCTTTGTATCCCCAAAGCCCAGCCAGGTTTGATCTTATTCTTGCAGATGGGATCCATCTGCCCCCACTGTTGTCATTTCAATGAACAGTTTCTTTGCCCTTTGCCTGGAAACCCTTTGTTCCCTCCAAGGCCCCTATTAAGATGCAAATGTCTCCAGGACTCAAGGAACACTGCCAGCTAATGCAAGACATGACAGCTGACATTTGCTTGATGGACATCAGTGTGGGAGAAGACTGTCTGGAGATGGGGTTCCTGCTAGATGAAATGGTGCGTGCGTGCGTGCGTGCGTGCGTGCGTGTGTGTGTGTGTTTGTGTGTGTAACCGTGAATCCGTTTGCTGCTCACCACTCAAAAAGACTAATGACTCCAGGATAAGTTGTGAGGGCACGGAAAAGGATTCGGAAAGTCAGCAAACCAAAGAAAATAGGGGTTATTGCTGCCAAGGCCATCTTTCCTCAGGATTACAGGCTGGTGTAGGGAACGGTGTGGGCACCTGAGGTAGGTAGATTCCAGGTGGTGTGTGAACTACTGTTAACTGTGGTACTAGATATCCTGGGTTCTAAATCTAAGGAAGCCTCTGCCAGGCATTGTGGGGCACACCTGTACTCTCATCACTTGGGAGATAGAGGCAAGAGGATCAGGGGTTCAAGGACAGACTCAGGTACATAGTAAGTTGGAGACCAGCCTAGGCTACTTGAGACCCTATCTTCAAAGCAAAACAAAGGACAAATCTTTTGACTCCTGTCTTTTACATTCTTTTTCTCAAAAAAAAAAAAAGCTCATTCTACAGTTACCTATTACAATATAGAAGGAAAGCGCTTCTTCCCCCAGAAAAGCAGGGAAGACAGCAAAGGGCCACTTGGCACAGAGGACCCTGGGGGATGGAGAAAAACTCCTTCCCCTGGAGGACCAGGGGGATGCAACTGTAGCCTGACTAGACAGTGAGTGCAGCTCTTAACACAGCCCTGTGACTTGAGTCAATGTGGCACAGCAAAGACAGTGCCGGGTCAGCAACAGGGTGGCTGCAAGGCCTCCCAGACCCATGGCTTCTGGAATCAGCTGAAGGCACGTGGAGTGTTCCCCTCGGTAATTTGTGCATGCGTATGTGTGTGTGTCTGTGTGTATGCAAATGCAGGCATATATGTGTGTATGTCTGTGTGTGCCTGCATATGTGTGTACAGGTATATATGTGTTTGTGTCTGTGTGTGCATGTATATATATGTGTATGTGTGTGCATGCATGTGTATACATCTCTATGTGTATGTGAGGGTATGTGGGTGTATGTGTGAGTGTGTCTTTGTGTATATGTATACATGTATGTGTATGTGTGTATGTGTGTATATGTGTATCTCTGTGTGTATATGTGTGTATGTGAGTGTATGTGTGTGTATATATGTGTCATGTGCATGTTCATATGTGTGTCTATATGTGTGTATCTGTATAAGTGTGTGGGGGTGTCTGAAAGTGGTAGAGAGTCAAGGGAAGTGGTAGGATAAATTGACCAGATCTGGATAATGAGTCACAGGGAGTCATTGAAGGGCATAGGCCAAAAGTGACACTCTGACGGGTGGGTAATTATGAAGGAAAAGCCAGGAAGGAAGGAAAGGCTTCAGGTGGGGAGACCTGTTCAGAGAAGTGGGGTGTGTGTCAGACGCTCTGTGCTACACCAAGGGCACACAAGCCAATGAAATACAGCTTCTGCCCCCAAAGGACTCCAGTCTGATGGTAGGGGGCTGAGGGTGGGGGTGACAAGGCCCCTGAATAAAAGCCAGAAACCAAACCAGCTGGTGGCGGAGGCTCAAAAGAGAAATATGCAGGGAACTTGGGAGAGGGCCTGGCCCAGAAGGAGTCAGGGGAGTCACCTAGTGCTTCTGCCAGTAACAAACAGTTACCAGAGGTGCTTTCTGAAGCCCCAGAGCTGCAGGGGAATGAGGTACGCTTTCCCAGCCAGGAGCAACGGCCCCACTCAAAGGCCCGCCTAAGGGAAAATCCCCTCTACTGGCAGATGGGGAGGAGAGGAGAGCAGACTTAACTGGTGGGGGAACCCAGCAGCACGGAGATCCCAACAGGAGGGAGAAGGGCCTGATGTGGTCAACATTACAGTCAGTTTAGAAAAGGCAGAATGAAGAGGGACTGGGAATCATGATGAGTAAGGATGGGGGAGTCACATTCTAGAAGAAAGGGAGAAAAGGGGGTGGAAGTCAGGGCCACAGGTGTGGGCTCTCTACATTGTTTCTGGAGATGTCTGGAACTGGAAGGCACTGCTGGTCAGGCAGGGGATCAGCATCCATGTCCACAAAGGTCAAGATGCTGCTTACCAGAAAAGCTAGGGGCGCCCTGACTCGGAAGAAAGGCTCAGCCCCAGGGCACTGGTGGGATGCTTTGTCTATTCACTTCGCCCCTCTGGCCCTGAGCTAGCCATTCAGTTAGTTCTCATTGTCCATCCTTGGCCTTCAGAACCTGTCATTCTCAGTGGAAAGCACCTCCTCTCAGAGGGTGCCACTGAACCCTGCATCCCACCCTCTTCCCACCAACCACCTGGGCACTTTACCTTCCTAACCTGCATCCCACTTCCAGACCAATCAGAGAGCACTGCACCTTCTCCAAGGGTGTCATGGTGGCTCACTCACCATCCTTCGGCAGGACTGAGAACCAGTTGGCTTCTGTCACTTTATTTCCTCTCTGTCCACCCCTGTGGACCTGGAACATCTCTTTACAGGTCCTATAATACTTTGCAACTCTTTCCTCTCTAGTTATTCTGAAAATATAGAGAGATAGGAGTCATTTATGTAATACCATTTTGTCTCTTTACTTGTTTTCGGGTCTCTGAAGCCCTGCCTGGAATCACCAGGCACACAGGCATCTGGCTAGCCCTTCCAGAGTCCCTAGGATAGTGGTACTTGTTATACATTCAGACATGTGGGAAGTTCTTCCTTGAGTCTCACTGGTATCTCTCTGGGGTTTCCTGTCTCATGATGCCAGCAGACAGCAAGTCAGTCAGCGTCATCCTTCACACACGAAACAGCACACCGAGAACCGTCTCTCCATTACACTTGTTCCCCACGCAGCATCGATTTTCAGTCACTTTCCAGCTGAACTTGTGAGAATTATTAGTTCTTTGTGTTCTTTCTCCAGCCCAACTGAAAATTCTCACCTTGTGTCTCCCCTCTTATTTATTTTTAAAACCTGTCCAGCCTCGTTATAAATGTTCAGCAAAACTTGCCTCAGCTTAGTCTGTGCTCCTGTTCTCCAGAAGCAACGCTCCATGCTCATGCCTCTGGGAATCTGAATACAAAAAAGAAAACGGTGAGGGCTAGGATGGGATGAGTCCTCTGGTCCATGGAGACCCTGGAAGGCTTGCTAAGACACATGCTGCTGTGTTGATTGAGTAGGTCTGGGGCAGTGGACTCTCCCTGCCCTCCTTAGACCTTGCTCCACGGAATGTGGATGCTGACTACGGGGGGCCCACACTTTGAGAACGGCTGGATGAAGGTAGTGGTGCTCAGCTGACCACGGAGGCTGCTCTAACTTGGTTTGGTGACTTGGTCTCCTCAGTCATTTTCTTCCAGCTCCTCCGGCCCCCTCCCCTAGCAGACATACCTTCCTGATTGTGTTCGCAGGTTTGGCTCCAATTGCATTTCTATCATTCTCTGAGCCTCCTCCACCCTAGAAAAGATGAAGAGGTAGTTGGAAGGGTGATGGTGGGCTTGGTAGTCACGAGTAGTGGATGACCACGGTTTCTCTATGAATGAAGACTCTGGGTAGGCTATGGCCGTGACAGAGGCTATAAGCTTCTGGCTTCTTTCTCCTCTGGACTGTAGGAAGTGGACATCTACACCGTGAAGACGGAAGAGCTGTCCTTCACATCTGCGTTCTGCCTGCAGATACAGCGCAACGACTACGTCCATGCCCTCGTCACCTATTTTAATATTGAATTTACCAAGTGCCACAAGAAAATGGGGTTTTCCACAGGTGAGCTGTCTCCAGTGGAAGAAGATCTCTTCCTTTCTGCTTCCTCGAGGCGTATGGGTAGAAACCAGGGCTGGCTTTGATTTGGGGGGAATGCCAAGCATCAGTTAGGGCCCTGCCTTGATGTCTCATGAATTTTTCAGCTGGGGAGAGGATGCATGCCCCCACAGTCTTGGCTTCTCAAGGAGAAGGTAATGATGGAGTTGGGGCTTCAGGGTTGAGAGGCTGTTACCAAGAACTCACTCCGGCCTGCTTTAGCCCCCACATCCTTGTGATCTCTAATGAAAGAATTCGGGTGAAACACAGTGTGTAGTCATAGAACACTGTTTATTACAGGAAAACATGAGATGCTTTCAAGGCTGAGAGTACACAATGGCCCAGGGAGCCATAATGAAGTCACTCCCAAGGGTGGGCGAGGACAGTGGCCAGAGAATCATTGTAGAGGAAAACACTCTTACAGGGTGAGCATGGCCAGTGACCAGACAGACCAATGTACTGACCTACATACTTAAGCAGGTTTTAAACTATTTCTCAAGCGTGTCTGTGTTCATGTATATGGGTACCTGTGCACGTGTGTGAGCACATGTGCTTAGATGCTGTAGGTCAACCTCAGTTTGTCTTCCTTAGGTGCTGCTCACCTTGTTTTGGGGGGCAAATCTCTCACTGGCCTGGAGCTCAGCAAGTAGGCTAGGCTGGCTAGCTAGGAAGCCCCAAGGATCTGCCTGCCTCTGTCTCCCAGTGCTGGGATTACACCCGTTTGTTTGCTTGCTCGTTCTTTTAAAATATTTTATTTATTATTTTATTTCATGTATGAGTATTACCTGCATGTATGTAAGTGCACCCATATGGTGCAATGCCACAGAAGTCAGAAAAGGACATCTGATTCACATGGAACTGGAGTTACGGACGGTTGTTAGCCTCCATGTGGGTGTGGGGAATCAAACCCAGGTCCTCTGAAAGAGCAACCAGTGCTCGTAACTGCTGAACCAATAACTCTCTAGCCTCTGCTTGTTTGTTTTCTAATGTGGATTTGGAGCCTCAGGCACATGTGGCTAGCACTTTACCAACTCAGCTATTTCCTTAGCTCCATACCATTTCTTAAGTTTCTAGAACAGCCTCTGGAAGGGCATTTCCTGTTCAAGTGATTGACAGGTACATCTGGATGAACTCCTAAGAGAAGAGACAATGCCGTGCATTTGCTCTTTAATGGAACGCCACATGCTAGATACTCATCTTATAACCTTGCTGGTGGTTGGAAATGTGGTCTCCACCAGGGCAGGAGACAGACAAAGAGCCCATTCTTTTGACCAGTAATCCAAGTCCTGCAGTTTCAGTGCCTGGTTTTACAAGTGACTAAATATAAAGGAGAGGTCCATCCCTATTCACCACCAAGCCTGCTAATATCTTACTTGCCGAGAGAGAGAGAGAGAGAGAGAGAGAGAGAGAGAGAGAGAGAGAGAGAGAGAGAAAAGGGATTGGGCAAGGGGCTCTCCTGAGGTTCTTTTCATAAAATTTTATTTATTATTATTGTGTATGCATGTGATATATGTGGGCACATGTGTCACAGGATGCATGTGGAGGTCAGAGGACAAATTTATGGAGTCTGCCTCTATGTTTATGTGGGATCCAGGGATCAAACTCAGGTCATCAAGCTTGTGTAAGGAGAATCATTAACTAAAGTCATTAACCCCTTTTGTAAGGAGAGGCATTCATCAAGGCATATCTGTCTGATGGGCATTTACCGAGAAGATTCTGTGTGTGGGGTGAGGACTCTGTTGGCTTTCTGATACAGGACACTTCTGCCCCATGGCACAGCCTATGTAGGAATAGGAGGTGTGCGCAGAGGTGACGGCCCCTATGCAGGATTCTGCCTCTCTCTCAGTGAACTAGAAACTGATCTCTCTCCCTTTCCTTCTTGTTTACCTTAGCCCTATCCATCCTTCATTAAATTCATGGTTGTGCTCCCTGAAGACCACTTCTACCATCTTAGTCTGTTTTCTGTTGCTATAACAAAACATTTGAAACTGGGTAATTTATAAAGAATAGAAATGTCTTCGTCTCATAGTTCTGGAGGCTGGGAAGTCCAAGGACATGGTGCTGGCATTGGTTTGACATCTGGTGAGGGCTTTGTGCTGCATCATAACATGGCAGAGGGTGCCACAGGTGAGACAGAGCAAGCATGAACTAGAGCTTTCCTGTACAACAGTCAATTACCATGATAACCCATGAATCATCAATTTATGAATGAATTCATCTATTCAGGAGGGTAGATCCCTCATAATCCAGTCATCCCTAAAGATTTCACCTTTCTCTCTGGGATGGAGAGATGGCTCAGTGGCTAAGAACACTGACTGCTCTTGCAGAGAACCAGCTTTTTTTCCCAGCACGCTCATGGTAGCTAACAACCGTCTGTAACTCTAGTTCTCGGGGATCTGATACCCTCTTCTGGCCTTCATGGACATTGCATGCATATACATGCAAGCAAACACTCATACACATAATAAATAAATAAATAAATAAATAAATAAATAAATAAATTAATTAATTAATTAATTAAAAAGATATACAAAAAGTCTGGAAATGAATGTGATGTACCTTATAGTTAGCAAACAGTCACAACATTTTGCCTGAGCACGCTTTGCTAAATTAATTAATTAATTAAAAAAGATTTCAGTTCTTGGCATTGATGCACTGGGGGCTGGCTACCTTTCTAACACATGGTCTTTGGAGGACACATTCAAATCCTGTCATCCACTTAGTTTGCCTTGAGAGATGCTTCATCACCTTTAGGAAACAACCTCAAGTTGCTTAACTTGGCAAGAGGGGATTCTATGACCTAGCCTTAGCCCACTTCTCAGTGCTGACCTCATGCCTCTCCTTGCTGGACCTGCTCATACCCTGTCTATCCCTCCCACACATAGCATAGCCACCCTGAGCTTTCTACAGTGCCTTGGGCTGCAGGGACTTCTATAATTACTGGGCCATTGCTTCTGCATACCCTTCCCCTCATTCATCTGGGATATGACCTGAGACTAGGAGAGCCTTTTATCAGAAGGTTCTTGTCCCTCCTTTCCTCCTGTGCTAATCTGATTGAGCTGCCAGGACCAAGTTCCACAGACTTGGGGTAGACTGTGCTGGTTCCTGGAAACTGCAATCCTCAAGGATTAGGTAGGCATGTCTGTGGCAGATGGAGAAGTCTATCAGAACTCATGTGACTGTTTATTTCCTAGAGATGTGATGATAATGAGACCTTTCACCTGTGGACAGAGGAGGCAAAAGATGTATTTAATCTCATGCAATCCCCAAAAGGCTTGTGCCAGATTCAGCGTTTCCTAAAACAAAAACTACCCTGGTCTGTATCAGCCAAGCAAGGACAGTGCTCTCCTTTCTTGGGGAAAATCAGGGATCGTCCTGATCACAGCCATTGTCAAGGGCTGCCATCCTTCTAGAAGGAGAGAATGAACTGACCTTATCTTCCCAGTGGGCCGGAGCAGCCCTGAGGGGGAAGTGAGATTATTCTACTTGAACTCTAAGGATGTGGAAGACTCAGCCTAGTGATGGTGAGGGAAGGGTGGTAGTGAGGGAACCGATGAGCTTGTTTAAGGTTCAAGGTTGAAATTGGATCTAGGGAAGGAATCATGGCATCTGGCTCTGCCTCTCCCATCTCAGATCATGACAGCTCAGAGCCTGCTTTGCAGTAGGGGACGATAGGGACCCTCTGGGAAAATGAAAACCCTGGGTTTCTAAAGTCCTAATCCTGACCCCTGTGGCTCTCAGCAAGGCTTACCTTCCCTTGAGGTGATCAACTTCTGGTTGTAGCTGCTTGACCTCTGTCTAGAGATGGTTTACTGCCTCTGTGGTCACAGGGTTGACCTTCTGATTGGCCCTCAAGGAGGAGGCTTGTTTAAGCTCAGCCCAGAACCAAAGCAGTTGTGTCTGGTCTTCCTGAAAGATAGTGAGGACTTGAAGCATCTAACTCCTGACTCAGTCTCCTCTATTTGTTGGCCACACCCCCACCATTATCCCATACAAGCTGAATCTAGATGCAAGATTGCCTTTCTGCCTTTGTGCTGTTTAGAGTGTCATTCTCACTCCTGTCTGCACAGAACTCTATAAAGCTGAATTCTTGAAGGACGGTTAGAAAGCCTACAAGTCTCCTCCCTGTGGTATTTCTCAAAGAATGGTCCATGCATCAGCAGCATCAGCATCTCTGGGATCAAGGAAGGCCTTACCCAAGACCCACTGCCTCAGAAACTCTGAGGGTAGACCCAGCCATCTGAGGCTTAGCAACACCTCGAGACGGCTATGGTGCCCACTCAAGTTGTGAACTACTGCCTTTATGCAAGACCAATTTTTAAATATAATTTTAATATTCTTCATAGAATTTCATGTATGAGTATTGTATTTGCATCATTCCCATCCCTTCCGCTCCCCACCTGTGACTCACCACATCCCCCACACTCCTTCTCAGTTTCTCATCCTCTTCTTTGATTATTATTATTACATGTACATACATACATTTATGACTATATATATATATAATACACTGATTCCATTTAGTGATGTTTGTGTGTACATGTGTTTGGGGCTCACCACTTGGGATTGGATCACCTCTCAGGGCGCTAGTCCCTGGAGAAAACTGATTCTCCCTCCCTCAGCATCCATTGATTGCCTATAGCTCTTCATCTAGAGGTGGGACACTGTGAAATTTCCCCCATCCACATTGACTTGTCAACTGGTGCTGTCACTAGGCAGGATGCAAGATCACTCTGAGCAAGGCAATTGAGAATTCAACTGAGGCTAACTCCCTTCTGGAAGGGTGAGGCCATCACCTCACAAAGGTGTGCCCTTTGGACTAACCAACACTTCATACCCCTGGCAGACCCTAATTTGTTTCTTGAGAGCTCAGGAAAAACAATGCATTCATTTATTCTCTTAGCCCTCTTGGGAGATTAGCATGGGTCTTGAGTCCAGCATGTCAAACACTTCTTTAACTCATATGTAGAGTTGGTGGTGAGCTCTACTCAGACTCTGTACTCTGGTCACTGACAGAGTAGTTTTTAAAGATTTCTGATGCATATAGTTCAACTAATACTAATTTTTAGTTTAATGTATACTGTTTTGGACCACCCATTCATGGCTCAGTTTTGGTTTATTTATTAGTATAATGAATACTTACTAGCCCACCATCTACCTCAATAACTAGGATGGGGATGAATTATTAACTGGGATGGAAATAAATTATTAGCTACAATGCAAAGAGTAGCTAGAAATAAAGTTATTGCTATTTCCATTGAAACATGAGTGCATGACTTAATGACCAATAATTATTAATTAAAATATAAATATCAGCTAGCAATGATGAGTAAATGAAATAGTATATTGATAATTAATAAATGTAAACTAATTTGTATTCACCAAATACGTTCCTGTGAGCCCACTTAAGAACTCAGTGGCTTAGATCCTGTCACTATCTTAGCATTTTCTACCAAAATATTTCACTACTATGCTATCCCCAAGGCTTCTTCTAGATGAACATTTTCCCAAATTTTGCATTTCTTAAGCCCTTGCTGCTTTTAGAAAAGATTAAACACAATCATGTATGTGGACAGACAAGGTACTGTTCCGGTGGTTGTGGAACTTTATGGAAATGTTGCTTGCTGTAGGCGTCCCTCCCTGTCAACATCCCCCTAAGTCTTCCTTCTCAGCCCCAGAGCAGCAGGTTCTGGGGGAGGGGCACTCAAAAACGAATCACATATTGCACAGCTTGAAAATGATGCCTGCTAATGGCTCTGGCGGCTCTGCATCTCCAGACAGAAGTTGTTCCAAATAGGCAGAGGCACCCCGGGTTCCAAGCTCTGCCAGCCAGGGCCACAGCTGTCCCTGCCCGTTAAGCACCATCTCCCATCGGGGCAGGGGTAGGATGCAGAATCCAGAGACTCTGGGGCTGCTGTGCAATCCAGGAAAGCTTTGTGGTAGGTGGAAGGCAGTGATTCTGGGAGAAGCACTCCAGGCTCAAGTCCTAGTGTATCTGGGAATCAGCAATATCGGTACTATTCACTGGAAGTGGCTTTGTGGGCCCCAGGCAGCTTCTAGCTTTGCCATCCTGTGACACTGAGTCATTTTCCCAGGACAAGGAAGCTTCTCAGTTCACAGTCTTTAATTCTCTGAAAAGCTCACTAGGCAATGTAACTCTAAATTTGCAGCTAGAAAAATTCTTACAACCTACAAAGAATTACCAGTCACAGATGCACTTGGATGTAAACTGGAAAGTCAAATTCTCCCAAAGCACAGGGAAACAAGCTTATGAGAAGCCACTCCCATGTGCTCTCACAGTGCCCTGTGTTTCTACCCCTCACCTGAACCCACAGCTCACGTGGTTCTGCGTTGATCACTACTTGCTGTCTTCTTGGGCTGTGGCATCTGCAGGAAGGGTGGGGCTGGGGGGTACAAAGCTGGATTCATCTTGGTTGCCATTCCCTGAATTTAGAACCACACCTGGAGTGTGACAGGTGTCCTAAGCCAAAGTCTGTTGAACACATGCTCTTGTGGACAGCATTGGTCATGTTTACCAAAAGGTAGAGTGAACGTTGTCTGTAATCTAGAACTCAGGGAAACTGGGCTGGCATGTGAGTCTGGAATATTCCAAGAAGGAAAGCATCTTCATAATGAGAAAGATTGAAAGTTAGGCCATCCTGGGTTGTGGGTTGGGATGTGGGAGGGAGGAAAGCTTGGTCACTGATGAAGAGACCTGCAGATATCATTCATAGCTATGCACAACTGTATCCCAGATGCAACCCAGGGCATTCTAGAATGCTAGAGTGAGGCACCATACCTTTGCAGGTATACCTGCTTATGGAGGGATAACTAAACATCAGTTTACATAATGACTAACCATCAGCTGCCCTGGCTCAGCAGCTTCCTAACACGGCAGGGCTATAACTAATAGATTAGAAGAGGTGTGTCCATATGATTCAGCTTTTAATTAAGGATGCTTTGGCAAGCAAGAGTGAGCTAGCAATGATTGTGCCAGGGGAACAGATGTGAACTGTGTCCCCAGGCACAGAGGGATATTTGGTCACTCAGCACCTTGTTTTACCCTCACAACACCTCAGGGGATAAATACCATGACGACCTATATTCCACTCAAGACCAAGGGTCACAGTGCAAACCTATAGCAAAGATGATTCTAGAACTTGGGCCTATTCTTGTCTTTCCTGGAATATCTACCCAAGAGAAAGGGAAAGAAGGCAGCGATTCTAACCAAGGGGAAAGATACAATGTCTCATCATGTCTATCCTCTGATCCAAGAATTAAAGAACTAGAAATGCAAAATGGAACAGAGCCAAGCATCCAAACTCCGATCTGTTTCTACTGGACTCACTGGTGGATGGGCTGGGATTGAGAAAACTTGTTGAGACAGTTGGGCCATAGCTACTGTATCCACTATGGAAATGAGATACTTGGGGAAGTTCTTAACATTTCGTTTTCTTTTTTTTTATTTACTTAAAAATTTAAAAAATTTTCAAGTGTATGAGTGTATTGCCTGCATGTATGTAAGTGTACCCATCTGTGTCATGCAATGCCTGCAGAAGTCAGAAGAGGGTGTCAGATCCCCTGGAACTGGAGTTAAGGATGGTAGTTAGCTGCCATGTGGGCACTGGGAATCAAACCCACACCCTCTGCAAGAGCAGTCACTGCTCTTAACCACTGAGCTATCTCAGCAGCTCAGAAGTTCTTAACATTTTGATGTTGATGTCAAGGACACAAAAGCAACATTCCTTCCACTCACTGATGACATGCTTTGGGGCCACCAAATTGGGGGTGGGGGTAGACTGGCCTTGCTGGCCAGCAGTTCTGAGTCAGTGAAATGCAGGTCCTTGGAGGAATCTGATTGGGTGGCTGGAGAAGCAGTTTGAGTTCCCTTGCCTGAAGGTCTTTAGGAACAGGTGAGACTTGTCTGAGCCTGTGGAGCTGGAGGTGGGGGAGCTGTCAGTCACTCGCTGGCATTCTTTGCACTCAGCCAGAATGGAATTTATTTAGAGGTAATTGGCAGAGAGCATGCTGGGAGCATTTGGTCTCAGCCTGTAGACAGTGGTGGAGTGCCTTGGAGCTGGGGCGCAGTGGGTTTGAGGACCCAGGGTCTGTGAGGCAGACTGTGTATCTCAGTCCCCCTTCATCTTCCAGGTGCTCAGGCTGTTTTCTCCTATGACCTTGGGTTTTCATTGATTTCCAAATGCACACACTGAAAGCTGCTCTGGTCTCTACCCGACCACTGACATTTGATCAAGGCAGCTTCCAGCTCATTGCAAACAACAAAGAGAAAAAAAAGTCTCTTTGCCGTCATTAAAATAGATCTTGGGGTTTTTGAAAGATTTTTGAGGTCATGTGGTCTGTCTTGAAGCATGACAGCTGAACTCACTGGGAGTGGTGTGAACATCCTGAGGGAGGAGCCTCAAGTTAACTCAGTTTCTATGACCATGAGATAGCTCCAATCTCTCTGAAACTGCTTATCTGACTCCTCCTTATTCCTAGCGATTAGCCTTTGTTCATTCACCAAACCATCTGTAACCATGGCTCCAATGTGTTTGAAAGGCTTTGTGCCCTTCCCGAGTCTTGCCATTGTTAGCACTAGTCCTAAACAGGAAAGAAAGTCTACTGGAGGAAGGTAAGGGTCTGAGCCCAGAGGAGTTCACCATAAAGTGAGTCTTCTCCAGTCCATGGTAGGTTCCTCTTGAGCATCTCTGAGCACATCGTGCCATCACAAGATGGTGTACTCTGGGATTCTGCCACTGTCTGTTGACTCAGTGCTTCTAGATTGAATATGGTACGAACCCAGTGCTAACTAAGCAGTGGTAAGCAACGCTGGCCTGGCCCTGCCCTCTCAGAGTCTGCAATCTTGTGTAGGATGTAAACAAGTGAGAGAGAGGTGTTTATTCTGCAGCAAGCTAGACTCTGTGATGCCATTGACTCAGGGTGTTTTCAGAGCACTAGCTACAGGTTTGAGTGGTCCAGGAAGTCTGGCCTTGAAGGATAAGGATGTGGTAAGTAGAGAGACAGTCACAGCCAAAGAGGAGGATTGTATCCTAGGAGCCAGGGCCTCTTAGGCTTAGCTAGAGAATGCATCCTGTAATGAGAAAGGACCCATGGGACTCAATGGTAAAATGGTGGGGAGATACAAGTATCATGATGGCCTTGAATCATGAAGGGGTGGGTCAACCCTTATTTCTTTCTGGTCCCATTGGGAAGGCACAGCAGGGATCTCACAGTAGTCCTGGACCAGGGCTCTGGGAACAGCTCCAGGACTGAAAAGTTGTTTGAAGGATGGAGGAACAAGAATGTGGGCCGTCAATAAAACCAGAAAACTGGTTGAGCTGTAGAGTTTATATAATTGATGTCCTCAGTATATAAATGATAGAAATAGGATAGCCTGTTCTAAACATCTCCCCACACTACCTGAGTCTTTACTCTGTTGAACTAATTAAAACGAGCATATCGAGGTTCATTTGTGTGAATGAGGTTAGTGAGATGGCCTTTAGCACCCCCTCATTGGTATGCCTCTCTTCTGATCCCTCACTTAGATCACTGTTTCTGCAGAGCTGGGTCTGGGATGGGAAGAAGCATATTGGGGCTGAGTGGGGAGTCATACTGGGGTTTGGACTAAATACTCGACCCTATAAGAGTATTGGTGTGTGTGGTGGGGGTCATTGAGTCTCATGGGATACTTAGGGCTTCTGTGTGGGTCCTGGCCTCAGCTTTTCTGGGGGTCTTGCCTCTGCCTTCTGTTCATCTCTGATCCTTCTTCTTCCCTCCCTGGTGTCCCTCCCCAGCCCCTGATGCCCCCTATACCCACTGGAAGCAGACCGTGTTCTACCTGGAAGACTACCTCACGGTCCGAAGGGGGGAGGAAATCTATGGGACCATATCCATGAAGCCAAATGCCAAAAATGTGGTGAGTCTGAGGAACCCCTGTGTGGCCAGGGTACTAAGAAGGGACCCCTGGTGCTAAGAAGGGACTCCTGGGGACCTCACCAAACCCACTCATTTGCCCAATCCAATACCTTGCACACAATTGTAGAAGCTTCTGGGAGAGTAGCTGCATTTGCAGGTGACCAGGCCTAACTGGGGAACTTCAACTTTGACTTTTCAAAGCCCAGTGACTAGAGGTTTCCTGGGCTCTGAACCCAACCTCGTGGGAGAGTCTTGGAGAATGGATGTTGTATAAATGGGTTCTACTTCATTCAGGGTGAGCTGGGCTGATAAATACATGTTTCTGTGTAGAGGAAAATGTTTTCTGGGCCTTTCTCCAGCTGGCCTGGTAAATTTTTTCTGAGCAGCCCCTGTGTAGGATGAATACTGAAAGTCTACAGAAATGCTTGATGGTTTTGATCCAAGCCCTTCCCTCAGTCAGCTCCCATATGAAATCCTGGGACTGTTTTCATGTGAGAACAAGAAGGACTAGGTTAGAGATGAAAGTACTTCCCATTGAGGATAGTGGGGCACTATCCTCAAGACTGGATGGATTCCTGAAGATTGTTCACGAGCACCCCTTAACGAGAAATTCCGTGGCTTCCTGGGAAGGGCCACAACTTCCTACTCAGGCTCACACCATGACCCTTTGCTCTTTCCTAACAGCGAGACCTCGATTTCACAGTAGACTTGGATTTTAAGGGACAGCTGTGTGAAACATCTGTATCTAATGACTACAAGATGCGTTAGCACACGAAGGAAGCTGCAGAGAGCAAGCAAAAAAAAGGAACTTTCACTTCAAGTCTGCAACGCTGCCCCAAGGAATATGGTTAGGAGGACGACACACTTGAAAACCAGAGGTTTCCACTCTGCCTTGAAGATTGGTGAACCCGCCAGGGCTTCCGTGGACCCTGCCACAACAAGAAGCCTCCAGTCCCTCCGCTTTGCCCCAGGATTCCTTAATGAAGGTTTAGTGGGCACCACTTGTGCTGGGGCTGGGGCTCCAAGGATGGAACCGATTCCACATATCCCCATCGTCCTCCTAAGCTGTGACTCTCTGGGTCTTCCAAGTTTTGCATGCTGCAGGCATCTAGGACAGATTGCTTCCACTAGAACCCAGAGATATAGTGTCTTTGATAGCATAAGCCAGATTTTCTGTCGATGCGGTGGTGTGTGTGTGTGTGTGTGTGTGTGTGTGTGTGTGTGTGTGTGTACATGTATACAGCATATATATTAATTTGCCCACAAACATCTGTATATGCATGCATATACAACTAAGTGGGTCTATTATTTGGGTGTTCATTCTGAGGGGTATGTGCGTGCGCAAGCGCGCGCTCGTGTGTGTGCGTGTGTGTGTGTGTGTGTGTGTGTGTGCGCGTGTGTGTGTGTGTGTGTGCACATGGGTGTGTACGCCTAGAATATATATCACTCTAAACGGAGATTCTGTTGCTTTCAAATAGAAATTTGTTTTGTGATTAGTTCTCCCCCTCCTGGGCCCTTAACAGATGTTACCCAACTCTGAAACACTCTCTGTACTAGCCCTGGTCTCGTACTAGCCCTGGTCTTGTTTTGACTAGACTGTGGCTCTAAAGCCTGAGTATAGTGCTGCAGGCTCTGTGAGCGCTCAATAAACACACATGAGAAACAAACTGATGGGATATCTGTGTTTCTGGTGCTCTAGAGTATGAGGGTGTGTGAGGATGACTGTGGTGTGTATGTGGGGTGCGAAAGGGGCAGAAAATTGAAGGGCACAGCCCCCATCTTGTGTTATTTCCTCACTGGAAGTCAACTTCATGAGAGAAGCAGTTTGGAAGTCAGGGTCAATCTGTGAGCCTCTTTTCTACAGGGTCTCTAAGTCCAGCTTTGAAGGGACAAGAGGGTCCTGGAACTACCCAGGGGTGGGGGTGAGGGGTGGGGAAAGAGGGTGGTGAGGGGAATAGGAGCTGACCAAGAGTGCTCCATAATGAAAGGGTACATGTATATTGAAGGTACTTACAGTCTTCAGACCTGTGGGGAAGTGTCCAGTCCTGGTCTGAGTGTGGAAACAAATTTTCTATAGGATGGAAATATAGTGCACTTTTCCAGGCTTCGTGGGGTGCTTGGACTTAGTTTGTTTCTAGGTTGTTCTTTGGCTTCTGCACTGTCAGTCTCACCTGTGTTGTCTCCCTTTGGAGAGACACTTCAGGTGCTGGGGAGGAAAAGAGTCCATTTTAAAGGTGGTAGCTGGAGTGATCGGGCCCAGGAAGGGTCAGATGCAGAGGGAGCCTTAGTGGATGGGCAGAGGAGAAGCATTCTGATCATAGGTTGCTCTGGGTGGAGCTATCTCAACAGAGTGGGTGTCAGGGGCTGGTGACAGAGACAGTATATTCTAGCACAGCCTGACTCCATGAAGTGCACCCATGACCATATCTGGGATCCTAGGTTCCAGTCCCTTCTGCATGCTCCCTTAGGGGGATGCTAACATTTCTCCACTCTCATAAAAGCCAATCCACAGACATGTCATCCCTAGGCAGACAAGCCTGCATAAAAACTGTATAGGGTGCCCTTGGACAATGACAACCAAACCCAATGGTAGAGGCTCTTGTTTCCAGAGGCTTCTGATGGCTATGCATTTTGTCGGCCCTCAGAGATAGGCACAGATGCCTCACCACCCACTTTGTGACTGAGGCATATTGGGACAAGGGCAGGACCCCAGAGTTAGAACAGAGTTGGAATGGGGTCTCAGGCCCACTTGCACATGCCTTCCCCTGTCGTAGACTGATTCTTCTGCGCCTCTGCCTAGAGAGTGAGACTCACCGTATTTAAAAAAAGTATTCACTTAGTAGTGCATATTTTTAATCTACATATGCCAGACAAGAAAAATAGAGACACTTAAGAGGGGACAAAACCACTTGGGTCAGAAGAGGAGAGTGAATTGTAAAAAGACATTCACAGGGCCTTCCTTAAGGATGCAGGAGGGGAAGCCATTAGTGTGACCTTCCATTGCCATGACAATTAGAGAGGCTCTGAATTCTGCCTCCTGCAAAGGGTCTAACCTCAGATAGAGATATGTTCCGCTTAAAGAAGGATGCCAGCCAACAGGGCAAAGTCTTGTGTTGCCAGAAGCCCATGGGAACCAACAGGATGCCCATCTTTCAGGAACTCTGGGATGGGGTGTGTAAGTATCTCTGATATCACTCCATCTTCTCCAGCCTCCCTGGTCCTCATTTTCAGCCTCTTGGAGCTGCCAAAGCCCCTGCCCCATGGCCACTTGAATCTAGAGGGTACGAAAGAGCAATTCCACAGTTGACTTCCCTCCTGTTCCTGGAAGGCTCTGATGGGAATGGTTGTTTTCTTCTGGTTCTGCTTTCAATGTATTCTAAATAGAAGTCAGGGTATAAGATGTCTTGGCATGATAACAGAGGTGCCATTAAGATGACATGTAAGAAGCCTGTCCCCTCCCAGACTCATTGCTGAGACTGTACAGAGCCCTCTACTGTCACTAGTCTCTTTTGGAGAACTTCTCATAGTCCCATAAGCATGTAGCCCAGTGCCTCTTTTGTGATTGTGTATGGGCATGGTTGAATACGGGCCATTCTGTGCATACCCTCATGCCCACATCAGAGAGATCTCTCTCCCTGACTAGACTTCAAGCTTTGATGATGGGACCTCCCTGAACAGAGTGCACTGTAGGGGCCATGGGGATGGTAGGAAATCTCAACATGACCCTGTGTGTGCAATGTGCCCATGGGCCTGTCCAAGACCCTGGGTTCAAGTCCCTTCTGTCCATGCTTGGGAGATGTCCATATTTTCATTTTTAAAAAATATTGTATTCATTATTTTTATTTTGTGTGTATGAGTATTTTGCCTGCATGTATGTAAGTGTTGTGCAATGCCCACGGGGCTCAGAAGGGAGAGTCGGATCCCCTGGAACTGGAGTTAGTCACCATATGGGTGCTGGGAACTGAACCCAGGTCCTCTGCAAGAACAACCAGTGCTCTTAACCATCTCTCCAGCCCCATCCCATATTTTCTTTACTTTACAAGTAAGATGGTCCATGGAGGCTATCTTTCCTGGAAACTGGGTGAATATGAGGCCTTTACCAGCTCCCCATCTCTGCAGCTCCCTCTCCTCTCATGCCACCTCTGGTACCCCATCTACAGGCAACATCTAGTTCCAGACCTCAGCAACAGCATGGAATGTCTCCAGATATCTCAGGCCATTCACCAACAAAACTCATGTGGACGTTTGGTCCCTGGAAAGACAGTGCTAGGTAGTGGGTCTGACTGGGACTGTTCAATTGTGGGATCACAGACCCCAATGAGTGGACTGAGGCCTCTCATGCAAGCGAGTGCTTTTTACTGGACTGGATTGTTATAAAGAGATCTGGTTGATACGAAGCAGGAAAGGCCCTCATGTTTCATTCCTCACTTACACCCCTAATTATTCCTCTGCTTTCCACCATGAACCGAAGTAGCAGGTAACTCTCCTCAGCACCATGTTCTAAGACTCCCAACTTCTAGAACCAAAAGTCAAAATAAACCCCTTTCTTTAAAAAATTACCCTGTCTTAGGTATTTTGTTATCGCAACAGAAATGGACTGGGATACTATCCTTGGGCCATGTTCAGCTTGCTTGGAGGCCAGTTTGAAGATCAACCATCACATTTACCTCATCTCCATTAGTAGGCCCTTAGAAACAGAGAAGGAATGTGCTCCCATCTCCCTATAAAGCCCACGGCAGGGCCCAGCCTATCATTTTAAGACCCACAGCCCCTTTGTGTGCCAGCAGCAGGCTGTTTCTCACCACACATGTACCAAAGCGACTTTAGCAACCTTCTGCCACACTTAAGTCCCAGGTCAACCAGAGCAAACAGGACAGAGAACACTCCCTGTATGCTGGTCCCTAGACGCATGCCTCTGCTGCTGTTATCTCCCACACGGCAACCATTGCTTGTTGGGCACCTCAGCCCAGGGCATGAGGTCTGGAGCCAAAGGATTCAGTGAAGTCCCTGCACTGCTGCTGGCTGAGGAAGTGGCTTCGGGCAGGTTGCCACACACAGACGAGACTCTGTATCTTCATCCTGGAATAGGAGCTAGTTCCAGATGAGATGAAATCACATAAAGCAGGCCTGGACAAACAAATGCAAGGGGGATTCCAGGCCTCCCTACTGTTCTAATAACAATGGTGATGGTGTGGGGTGCAGCATTCTGTTACTGAGTCTTACCTTGAACTCCAAGTCTGAGGCCTGGGCTTAGCAGGTCTGGAAGAGGAGCAGGCAGAACCTGAGGGCACTGGTGGTGGCTGGGCCCGGGGCTGCAGCTTTGGTCCAGTGTTTGGCGGCAGCACTGTGGACACACGTGGAGAGTATGTCAGACCTCTGGGCAGAAGCAGCATGCTTTGTGGCTTTGTTTCATTAGCTCTGACAGGCCTGGAAATCTATCTCCCAGCCTCCTGTAGGCTGAGGCTGACTGGCATCTATACACCTGGGTCCTTCCATTTAGTGAGGAAAGCACCTCAGTTCTCCTCCCCAGACACTCTGGACCAAGCTTGCCTTTTGCCAGTGCCCTCGCCCACTTCCATAGTTCCATAGGTCTTCCTGTGACCCCAGGGCAGGGCCAGTTATTTAGAACACCAGAGTGCTGCCACCCAGGAAAGAACAAGCACATCCAAACACTCATTTGGTTTTGGAAATTCAGCACAGGCTGCTCTGCCCAGGGGAATTATCCCTCTAGGCATATTTAGTTGCAGTTAATAATGTATGGAGTTTGTATACTCTGGGTACTTGTTCTCTTTGATGGCTAGAGTTAGCAGCTCAGAAGTCTCTTGGGAAAACAGCAGGGGAAACAGGATAGTGACTGGGCTGAGAAAGAAATGCTGATGGCCACATAAACCCTTGAGACTTGTTTGGCTACTTTTAGTAGGAAATAAGCCATTTCCAACTACCATAAATCACTGTCATTATGACTGAGGCAAGCCCACCATGGCATTGTGAGTCAGAACATACCAGAAGACCAAAACTACAGGAGTCCTTCTCTATGATCAGGGAAAGCCAGAGAAGCCAGGGAAGGACTGAGCCTCCTGAGAATACGTGATCCGGAAAGAAGGAGAAAAGCCTGGAGAGGTGGATATAGTGTTAGTCAGCTTTTCATCACTGTGACAAAACAATGGTAATCAGCTTAATAAGGAGAAAGATTATTTTGGCTCATGGTTTCAAAAGTCCATTGGCCTATGGGCCTGTAGTGGGTTGGGCTGCACTCTCATGGTGGCCAGGAAACAACAACAGAGACAGGAAGCATTCTGGTTCCAATATTCTTCTTAAGGCCATACCCCCAATGGTCTGCCTCCTTTCCATTAAGTCCCTTTCTACCACTTTCCGTGATAGTACCATAGGTTGGAGACCAGGTCTTCAATATATGGACTTTGGGGGTGGGCATTGCAGATCCAAACCACAGTAGCACTGTTTACAAAACCTGATGCCCAGGGACTAGTGTGTCACCATGAATGGTAGATCTATTTGGAGGCAGGAGAGATGCACCCTTGTTGTCTATCACAGGGATACTGGCCAAAGCTCTCAGATAAAGTGTATGGAGCAATTCGATCTTTTTTGAATTATATATTTATTTTATGTGTACAAATGTTTTGCCAGCATGTGTGTAAGTGGA